TTTTTAATTAATTCTTGTTGTTGGTTTTGTATAATCATTTTTTAAATGTTGGGGGGCCCCCCCCCCCCCCCTCCAATACCCAGTTCACAAAAGATGCTAATTTAGGGCAGCAATCTAGCAGAATATATTAAGCATTACTCAAAGATTTGAGGTATAATATCACCACCACACCCTTTAAACCTTCAAGGAGTGATGCTATTCCGTGCAGATTAAAGCAATAAGACTGAATAAACATTAATGGAAAAGAGTTTTTGTAATACTGATCTCATCAACTTCCGAGGTTCTATTAAATATGGAGTCATCATTCTTTAAGCATAAGCTTGGATGGTGGTAGAGGACTTTCCCTTTTAGTCCTTGTTTTGTCATGACAAAGAAGGAGGGTGAAATTATCATCCCTCCTAATGCAGGTTCCCTCCTGTCCTTATTCTTAACCTGTTACATGATCGGGCTTGACCTCTTCTGCTGGTGTGTTATGTTACCTGTACACTCTGTGTTGACAACAAGGCATTGCAGATCTGAAAAGGCTGCTTCTGTACTTCTGAATGTGCCATTGAATATCCAGTTTTCTACAAGGCTTCAGCCTGTTACCATGGCAGCTCTTGATTGTCACATGTATTTGGGAGACACAGAATCCCCTCGGCATTTTTTGGTACTTTCCTGGATAGCCGATAAGTCTCCCCCTATCACATGATGCACCCAACTTGTTTTGTCAGTGGTATTTTGGGAAAACCATCCAGTTTTCCACTGTTTTGATTTGTGAAGCTGCATACTAACACATGTTGTCAGTCAGTCAGTTGCTGATGAGGCCACCTCACAGGAATGTTTCAACGGAAGAGCAGTCGCCCACCCGCTGAGTGGAGAAAATCACACATCCTCTTTAGTCTAATCTAAGCCAGAGACTAAATCTATAGTCCCACAAAACCCAAAAGCAGTTGCAAATATTCTTAAATTTTCCTGAAAACATTCTATTTTTATTTATTTATTTTCAATTCTGCATGGATTATGGTAGCAGCTGTGTGCTATGGTGCTGCTCTTGCAAACACAACAGCGGATTTAACACATAAAACATCTGTTTAACATTAACTACTCTTTATTTGGATGTTTTCTGGGAACTGGTTGTCTAAAGTTGAACAGCAAGCCTTATAGAGGTGTAAATACAAAGTCCTCTTTTATTTAGCAAATGGCACATTATTTAGCACATTTATACACTTAAACACACGTTGTTGTTTTTTAAACCAATGAAGCATTCCTTCATTAAGAACTAGCTGGCATAATTCAAATTCAAATTCAAACATACTGAACATACTGGCCATATCGTGACATGGTCAGACGTACCTGGAATTATTTCTCATTTTAGACCTCAAAAATGTGTTATTCAGGTGGCAAATTTAAAAACTGGATTTCATTGGTTGCTCTGACTTGAGATAAGAAGGGAATGCGTCGTACTTGTTTCGACATGCCAAAGAACACAAAAGATTAAATATTTACTGCCAGACGAGGGTAACCTGCTTGTGTTAAAGTGTTTTTATTTTTTTCTTATTTTACCAGTCAGTGTATTAAGAATGTCTTTTTTTTTTGTTCTTAGGTTGCCCTGACATGGACACAGAGATGATTCCTAAATTTTCATCAAAGGATGAGGAGGTTGATTATTGGAAAACTCAAGCCCTGAAATATAAGAAAAGGTAGGTTGTGCCCCTGTGACTTCATACCTTGTGTCATATATTTTATATGTCGGTTGTAAACTGTGAGTTGATATTTTTAGCGTTCTGTTTTTATGCGTGACCTTGAGCTGCACGTTTCGTTTTGTTCTCAGCGAAAATTACAGAATAATGTTTTTGCTCAATAAGCTCATCTTGCAGCAACATAACTGTGCTCATTTTGTAGCTGGCAGCAGTTCCCCTGTATTAGCACAAAAATAAAAGCCTACCTCAGTTGAGAAATGCTTGTGGGTTTCAGCGCAGAGCGACTGGGACGAGCCCAAAAAAGGCAAATGACTTGCCGGGGCCCTTATGACATAACAAACCGCAAACCTGCTGACCAATTCAAGAGGAAATGACAAAAGCTTTGACTGCTTTAGCAAACGCCACAAGCCTTTCTGGGGTCTGCAGCTGTGCTGCGTAAATCTTTTTAAACCCTGCTTGTTTCATACATGAAGCTGAGAGTGAAAGGTTGCATATAAAGGGTTAAAGACATGGTGGTTTTCTGAGAAATTCCTGCAGTGGGTATATGCGGGGAAAACATCAAGCCACGGAAAAACTAACTTCAAGTAGGTGGCTTGTTGCACGTGTTTCAAGCATGTGTTTTCTCAGGCGGACTTTAACACCAACCTATCAGCAGCTGCAGCTTGCGTTGTTAATAAATTACCTTTTTTGAAATGTTTAACTTCCCATGTTTTGCTTTGCTACATTTGACACTTGTATGAAATAGTAACTTCTTGTAGAATTTGCACATTGAGAGTGTAGTTTTAAATCGACTGCCTGGCGCTGAGCCCGTTGGAGATCCCATGTGCTGACGTCACAAGGCTCTCTGACATTGGCATGCGTGGAACGACCACGCACAGAAACTGATTCATGGATTCCAGCTCTCTCTGAGAGTATTATCTCAGTACAAGTCAGCTGAACTCACCGTGGCATTAGGTACAGTGTCATCTGATCAGGAAAAAGGTTATGTAAGAATGAGCTTTTCGGTTCCAGCTTTGGTTGTTAATACAAATGTACCTTTTTTATATATATATATATATATATATATATATATATATATATATATATATTATACAAGTAGCACGCTTACGTTAATTCAGCAAGGCTGAGATGGGATTGATGTGGTATAGTTAAATCACGAGTGAAAGTTGAGCCGTTTTCAGGTCTATTTCTGTCAAAGCTCCAGGAACATGCATGAGCTAAACTCTTCCTGCAGAACAATAGCCTGGCCGTTTTCTAGAACCATTCAGCTCTGTAAAGCTGAATGGTTCCAGTGTTGATCCGTAATGCAGATGTGAAACAATGACAGTTGTTTTTTTGTTGTTTTTTTTTCCTCCCTCTTCTCTGTGTTTGTATCATTTAGTTGCCAAGATGCTCAAGAGGAGCTGCAGGAGTTCCAGGAGGGGAGCCGGGAACTGGAGGCCGAACTGGAGGCTCAGCTCAGTCAGACTGAACACCGCCTTCGAGATCTACAAGCTGAAAACGAGAGACTGAAGAACGAGTCGTCCAACCTAAAGGTAAACCGCTAGATTAGAAAATGATGACATTCTTATAGAAATCTCACAGAAGTAAAAATCTGACACAAAGAAAGCCCTTTCAAATCAAAGTTCTGCAACACAGACAACCACAAGTCCTTCATTATGGAAAATGTCCTTTCACATCATACAAGTTGCCGTGTTTGCTCAAAATATTTCTCTGGTCAGATGCCTCTGACCCTAAAATAAAGAATGTTTGTTCACACTAACGTCTACGTAACGGTCATGCGTTGTGACAATAAATTAATGAATGACTTGGCAGTCAAACAGTTCAACACTGGAATTCAAATCGAGGTTTTTCACCCTCAAAAAAACCAAGTTGTAAACAGCTGTTGTTCATTTTGAATGGATCTTGTGGAAAAAAAAAGGCAAACATTTGCTACACGCTGTCTTATAATTTAGTTAAATACATATACAAGATGCAGAGAGAAACATCAGTCTGCTTTTGAGAAACTCTTGTTTTTTAAAACAAACATTTTATAGTCAGGACAAGATTTTTAAAGATTTATCCAGGAAAATAAATAATAAATTGCATAAAAGTAAAAAAAAAAAAAACAATCAGAATTTGCTAAAATAGGAACCTGGAAGGTCATAGTTGCATCTCCAGTTGGGACACCAAGCAGAGTTACTTGAGTCATCTGATCTGCTTCCTAGGACAGAGTTTAGAAAGCATGTTATGTAATCCTGTGGCAAGCCTTAATTGGATGTCAGGATAAAGTAGAAGGAAATAGGAAGGACGAGTCTCGTTCTAAATCAGAGCGGGCCTGAGTGCCGAGTTCTGATCGTTGCCAGCTGTATTTATGTGCACACAATGAGAAATTCACCATCAACACTTTGTGGTTAAACATGTGAGCCCATGTGCCACACCTAACTCTAAAAAGGAACACTGCAAATGAACCGGAGAAGGTATGAATGATTCCTTCCTGTCTTTGTGCGTCAGGGGCCATAGTAAAGGCACGCAGCAGTGCCTCTAATTACATATAACCTAGCGCAGGAAGTGGGGCCAGGGGTCTCCCGTGGGAACAAAGGGGCCTTTTGACAGTGAAATAACACCAAAGAACATCTCGACTGTCTTGTGACTCGCCTCGTTTCCTGTGCTGTTGTTTGTGACCATCAACCAAATGCATAAAATAGTATTTTCAAACAGTGCGCTTTTGTGCTCCAGGTTCTCTACATCGGCTCACTCCCGGGGCGTTTTCTTCTCTTTATTCTATCTGTTGTCAGGAAAAACTAGAGATGCAGTATGCTCAGAGTTACAAACAGATTTCCATGCTGGAGGACGACCTGAGCCAGACCCGGAGCATAAAGGAGCAGCTACACAAATACGTACGAGAACTGGAACAAGCCAATGACGACTTGGAGAGAGCCAAAAGGTCCGAATGAGAATAATGCATTAAGACACATTTAGACTGTTAGATTCTCTGCTGTGTTCACGAAACGAGCCGCATTTCTGACTTTAGGGCAACCATAGTGTCTCTGGAGGACTTTGAGAGCCGTTTGAACCAGGCCATCGAAAGAAATGCTTTCCTTGAGAGCGAGCTGGACGAGAAGGAGTCGCTCCTTGTGTCAGTGCAGCGGCTGAAAGACGAAGCCAGAGGTAAGGAAGAAACCTTTTCTTTTTTTTTAGATTGGGCTTGTACTGTTTGTGGCATTTTGGATGAGAATTTTATTAGTCACACTTCAATCTCCTGCAGATCTGCGACAGGAGCTGGCAGTACGAGAGCGGAGCACTGACAGGATGTCGGCACCGAGCTCGCCAACGTCAGATATAGACAAGACTGATTCTGCAGTCCAGGCCTCTTTATCCCTCCCTGCAACGCCTGTAGGGAAGAGTATAGAGCATGCATTCATCAGCCAAAAGGGTAAGGGTTGTTCCCACTCTTATTTCTGCATATATTTAAAAAATATATATATTTTCATTAATTTAATCTTTTTACTGTAGGACTGACCAATGGTTGCAGCGGCTCAGCTCTAACACCTTCTGCCAGGATCTCAGCTCTTAATATAGTTGGAGACCTTCTGAGAAAAGTTGGGGTAAGTTTTATTTATTTCATTATAAATGTATAGCTGATTTACTCCTTTTGCATCTCTCTGTGAGAGTTTAGAGACAGGTTCAAAAGTGCAAACTGGTCCTTTGAAATTGCTTGGCTTTCTAATTTTGAAAGAAGGCAAAAATAGCATCAACACATCTCTGTCTGGCCACAGAGCAATGACGCATTATGCACGCACTTAGAAGAAGGTCAACACAGAGGGCAAATAAATTAACATTTTTGAAAACTTGAGCTTTATGCGAGCACAACTTTCACTCTTCCAGTGAGATCTGTTCAAAATAGTTATATAAATTTAGTTCAATAAACGTAACTGATAAATTTACTCTGTGACAAAGATTTGCTTGTATTATGCAACATGGGTGATTTTACAAGTTTTATCTTAAACCAGTGGATTTTCTCTGCAAATGTATAATTATCCTTCCTTTTCCAACCTGGAGAGTCATTTATTGATTTAGAAACATTTTGTCTCGTCGGATGAGACAAAATGTTTAATTTAATAAATTAAAACAGCCTACTGTATCTCTTTGATTATTTCTGCAACTGTATCGATGCAAAAATAGGTGCAGTAGGGGCTCCAGCATGCTGGGCCTGGTGGCTGTGTTGCTGTCTGTATATATTTGGTGCAGAAATAATGTGGCAAAGGAGGAGCAAAACTATTGCTACAAAAAAAATCAAGATATAAAATTCTACGTCTCATTGTTTTAATTTGTGGTTAAGTCACAAGCTTTACTTTTAAGGCTAAATTCAGCTTTTTTTCCCCCTGTTTTGTCATTAGGCTTTGGAGACCAAACTTGCAGCTTGTAGGAACATTGCCAAAGATCAGGCAGCGCGAAAAAAATACTCCACAGACGTCGGCACAATCCTCAACAGCAGCCCTACAAAGTTCCCACACCCTCTGCACACGGCCTACTTTGAAACAAGGTAAAGCCTCTCTTGTAGGTTTGGTTCTGCTACGTCTTAATTCACACCCGCTAACAAAGTTCATGTCCTGTTCTCATCTGCAGCACTGTTAATGGACTGGACCCGAGCTCCATGGCAACCAACAGAGCCATCCCTCCTCCAGGCATGCTGCCTTTAAGTGTGTGAGGACCCAATATGCCACTCAAACCTCCGCTCAAAGCCCATCCAACACAACATGGCTACAAATAGGACTCATGAGCGGCTGTATGTGCGCGCGTGTGTGTGTGCGCGTGTGTGTGTGTGATTGAGTGAAAGAGCATTGGCTGGGTGAGGGAATGCATGACTGAATTTGACAGATGCACGAGAGAAGTTAAATAAACTTGCCTCCAGGTTGCAGCTCGGAGTGCAGCTGGGTAGCCATGCTCCTACCTGATCCCTGCATGTGCCTACAGCAGAGCTCTTCAGTGCTTGTTTGCTCCATTGATGTCACTGTTCGCACTGCAGCACTAACTCAACGGCTCTAACGAACTTCTTCTTGACAAAGAGGCCCTCAACCGACCACAGCTTCTTTTTGATTTTTTTTCTTCATGTATTTTCTCCTGAATTGCACAGTTGAACTAATTTATATTTTGAATGTTTAATATTTAAAAAAAAGGGAAATGCTTATTCTAGCTGGTTTATTTTGTATGCTTTGAAATGCATTTTTCTTGTTTGCTGCTTTTTTTTTTTTTTTTTGCATGTCTACTTATGGTTGCAGGAGTGCGGGTCGGCCCTGCGCTGAGCAGACAGACCGAAGTGAATGTTGATTGTCCAAAGTTATGTAGCGCAGTAGTTGCCATGTTTTCTGTTGGGTGAAGCGTTCTTCTGCCGCCCTGAGTTGTTTTCTTTTTTTCTACTTATAATTTGAAGAAAACAGTTTTGTCTTTATTATGTTATGACATGAATTTGGCCCCAAAACACTCACCACCTGGAAAGGATTCTCAAAGCCAAACAAAATATTGAAAAATCTTCCTGACAGTTTAAGTTTTACTGAAGCAAATATAAATTCAATGGATCTTTTCAGGGTTTTGTGCAGTGCAGCACAGATTCTGTTTTTCCCTAATATTAATTTGGTATTAACTTTTTTTTTTTTTTTTTTTTTTGGTTTTGGCGGTTTTTTTTTTGGGCCCGAGCCCCAAAGGCCGGGGAGGCCCGTTGTTTTTCCTATTTACTTT